AACTACTCAGGAGGCCGAGGCAGGAGGATCCTAAGTTTAAGACCAATCTCAGCAACTTAGCAATACTCTGTCTCAAAATAAAATAAAATAAAAAGCGGGATATAGCTCAGTTGGCACAAGACCCTGGGTTCAATCCCCAGCAATAAATAAATAAATAAATAAAATTATAAAGGGCTGGGGATGTAGCTTAGTGGTAGAGCACTCCTGGGTTGAATCCCCAATACTACAGAAATTTAGAAAAAGAAAAACAGAGGCTCTCAGGCTAGGTCCAGACCTCTGAATCAGTAACTGCATTTTTTTTTTAAAGAGAGAGAGACAGATGGGCTGGGAATGTGGCTCAGGCGGTAGCGCGCTCCTCTGGCATGCATGCGGCCCGGGTTCGATCCTCAGCACCACATACCAACAAAGATGTTGTGTCCGCCGAGAACTAAGAAATAAATATTAAAAATTCTCTCTCTCTCTCTCTCTCTCCTCTCTCACTCTCTCTTTAAAAAAAAAAGAGAGAGAGAGACAGAGAGAGAGAGAATTTTTTTAATATTTATTTTTTAGTTTTCGGCGGACACAACATCTTTGTTTGTATGTGGTGCTGAGGATGAGCCACATCCCCAGCCCCAGTAACTGCATTTTTTAAATTTATTTTTTGTGATGCTGGGGATTGAACTCCGGGCCTCGCGTGCATGCTAAGCGCACACTCTACCACTGAGCCACAGCTCCAAAACTGCATTCTTAACAAAGTATGAGAAGTGCTACTTGGTCCGACCACTTTCCTCAAGGACGGCTTTGCTGTCCACTCCCTGTGGGGGATGCTCACCACCTCCTCCTCAGTGAAGCGGTGCAGGGTGCACCACTTGAAGCTGGCCCAGTGGAGACTAAGATTTAAGGGAATTCGGGAAGCATTTGCTGAGCTCTGCCCCACACATGCCTGCAGCCAATGCACTCCTCTCCTGAGAGCCTGGGATTCTGCAGATCTTGTCTTCTGCTCCTCAGGGAGCAAGCAACCAAATGCACGATTTGGTCCTCCGCTGGTCCCACCATTCCTCCTTACACATGAGAGGCCAGAAGAAATCTGAAATGAAAACAGGCACGACTTGGGAGTTCAGTGTAATTTTTCAGACCCCGGAAAAACAAGATGAAAATCAATTTCGTCAACAACCGTGCGTTTGTGGTAACCACCTGTCGCTTCCAACCCTGCATTCCTGTCGGCCTCTCCTGACTTAGGATGGAAGCTCAGTTTGCAGAACGGGTCTCTGATCACTGGCTCCCAGTCATGTTCTAAGACTGTCCTCATCGGGCCTGCGAGCACAAGCAGGCCACCTTCTGCAGAGATCCCATTTTTCCCTGGCAGTGGGAGGGATGGATGGGCAGTTGGGAGACTAGAGCTGGAGACCAGAGGGGCACGAACGAGTTACAGGTGTGACCCGTTTCCCCCAGCCTTGACTGTGAAAGGAGCCCGGCTGCCAGGTGACTTTCTGGAGAAGTCGAGATCCTTGAGAATTTAAAAGCCAAAGCCAGACAGACAGACAGACGGACAACATCAGGGCAGTGACAGTGGCCTGTAATCCTGGGTACTCAGGAAGCTGGGGCCAGAGGATCACAAGTTCAAGACCAGCCTTTTGCAATTTAGCAAGGCCCAAAGCAACTCAGTGAGATCCTAACTCAAGATAAAAATAAAAAATAAAATAAAATAAAAAGGGCTGGGGATGTGCCCGGTGGTTAAGCGCCCCTGAGTTCAATTTCTGGTACCAAAAACAAACAAACAAAAAACCAAGAAAGCATCGACAAAAACCACACACACACACACACACACACACACACACACACACACACACGGCTTTGGGTCTAGCACAGAATTGTGTCATTTGCCTGGAAGCTTCGAGTCAAGGCAAGGAGCGCAGAGTGTTCCATGCAGCAGGTGGAGCAGGTGGCCCCGTGACTGGGAGCCATTGCCTCAGGCCACGTCATGCCACGCAAAACTGTTCCCCTTTAAAACAAAAACAAAATCAGTCCCATGGGGACAGTGGAGACTCCTGGACTGTCAGTGTTTGTTGTTGTTGTGATTTCTTTTTAATTGTAGATAGACACAGTATCTTTATTTTTTATGTGGTGGCACACAAGTGCTGAGGACTGAACCCAGTGCCTTACGTCTGCGAGGCAAGCGCTCCACCCCTGAGCTACAGCCCAGCCCTGGGTTTCTTAGACAGAACCAAGATGTGTCCCCCTTTATGGAGCTCTCACCAGGTGCCAGACCTAGGAAGCCCACCTGGGCTGAGGGTATATCTCATAAGAATAGCCCAGACTCTGCCCGCTCCAAGCCCGGGCTCCACCCCCAGCCCCATGCACACAAATGGAAGATGCCGCCGGCGGATGGTGCATGGTGCGGCTGAAAGAACAGAAATTCCCTTTCTCCCTGTTCTGGAGGTTAGAGGTCCAGGGAGTGGGCAGGGCTGGCTCCTCCCGCGGCTGCCTCCCCTGTCCTCCCTGGTCTTCCCACGCTGTACCTCTGTGTCCTAATCTCTCCTTACGGATCAGGACACGCACATGTGACCTCATTTTAACTTAATCACCTCTTGAAAGACTATTTCCAAATGCAGATGTCTCTCAGCATTTGGTTCCAGGACCCCCATGGATACCAAAGCCCACAGGTGCTCAAGTGCCTTATATAAAATGGCATAATGCATATAACCTGCCCACGTCCCCCATATGCCTTAAACCATCCCCAGATATTCATGCACTCAATACACTGTCCATGCAACTGTTGTATACTGTGCTGTTTAAGGATCAATGATACCAAAAAGAAATAAATAAATAAGTGTTCATTTGAATTAAAGAAAGATGTTTGAGCGGTGCCCGCCTGTAATTCCAGCTACTCAGGAGGCTGAGGCAGGAGGATGGCAAGTTCAAAGCCGGCCTCAGCAACTTAGGGAGACCCTGTCTCAAAACCAACAGCCTCGGCTTGAGGATCAGGGATCTGACGCCTTCGGAAGCCTTCCCCAGCCCTGATGTTCCCCCGCCGGATGTAGACTATCTAGAAAACCCGACCTTGAGGCGAGGTGGGGGAGGAGGCAGGAAAGCAAGCATCTTTGAATGGACACTGGAATGGCCCAGCGGATCTGGGCCTGAGCCACGGCGAGCCCGTTGGCTTTGAGTGCGTGACCTGCAGCACCCATCCCGCACCCGTCCCTCTGCAGCGTGACACAGACCCCGGAAGTAGGAAGCCAGCAGTCGGGAGATGAACTTGACCTTGGCCTGCAGCATGTAGCAGGAAACCCCGGTGGTCATGGACAGTCCCCGACCACCGGGCTGCCCTGGGAAGTATCCTTTCTTCCAAGGAATCCAGAAGTCTCTTCGGGGACGCAGGGCTGTCTCCAAGCCTGAACTGAGTGAAGGACTTGCGGGGCAACTCCCTTGAGCCCGTGGCCAGGAGCCAGCTGACATCTAGACCCCTCACTGCCTGTGATCTTCTGGTAGTTTAAGTCACTGTCTTCACGCACACATTTTTCAGAACAGTCTGTTCATTACCAAACCCCATTAAACTGCTGGATCCTTCCCCTCCCTGCCTTGGAGGGCAGGAAGGGCTTGGGCTGGGTGCAGGCGAGCTCCCCTCCCACAGCACTCGGTGTCCTCCACAGGGTGCCGGCACCGCCCTGGCCCTGGCTCAACAGGGAGGGGTTTCCAGAGGACTCGCACCACCAGCGTGAGCACAGGTGACCCCAAGACCATAGCCGGGCCCTTCCGCAAGCCCTGGAGCTAGAAGGTGTGCTTGGGATGCCGAGAGCCCAAACTCAGACTGCCTTTTGCTGTGTGATCTCAGGCAAGTTCAGTTGCCTCTCTGTGCCTCTCCTCCTTCCTCTGTAAGTGCAAATGATGGAAATTACAGCTTTATTTACGTATTCATTTATTCTGTGGTGATGAGGATTGAAACTAGCCCGCCACAGGCTCTACCACTGAGCTACACCCCCAGGTCCCAGTTCTGCACCATTTTATATCACATACAAAGACAGGGATGTAGCTCAGTGGTACAGGCTTAGGTTGTGCAAGGCCCTGGATTTGATCCCCTGCGCTGTCAAAGCGAAAACCAAAACAAACACACACACACACACACACACAAAAACCACAGGTGGATCCGTGCAAGCACCACAGTAGTGACTGGTCATTATAGTCACCCTCTGTGCCACCCTCCAGGAGCACACCCGAGGCTCCACCCATCGTCCCTAAGCCCTGGCAACCATCCCTGTGTCCTTCATCTCTACAATTCATCATCTCAAGGATCTTTCATAAACAAGGCTGGGCAGGGCACAGAGCTGCACACCTACCATCCCGGCAACTCAGGAGGCCAAGGCAGGAGGCTCTTTAAGGCCAGGAGTTCAAAGCCAGCCTGAGCAACAAGACTCCGCCTCAAAAAAAGACAAAAATAAAAAAGAATCTGCTGTCAATGGAATCTTACAGCAGGTGACCCCCTAGGACTGGCCTTCTCAGTGCAACCTGCAGGTGGTTGTGTACATCAGTAGTTTGTTGGTTTATTTCACTGACCGGCATCCCATGATGTGGACATGCCACGGCTGCTTTAACCCTTCATTCATTTTTTTTTCCGGTTCTGAGGTTGACATCCAGAGCCTCACACCTGCAAGGAAGCGCTCCACGGCTGAGCCACATCCCCAGCCCCGCCCCTTCTTATTTTTAAGTCACCCGGGACGACCTAGAATTGTGATCCTCCTGCCTCAGCCTCCCCAGTAGCCGGGATCGTAGGCCCCACGGCGCCCCACGCAATACGAGTGTTCTGTCAGGTGTCGGTTTGCAGCATTCCCTCCCGGTGTGGCGTTGTGTCCCCGTCCTCTTACGGAGGATTTTCCTAGAACAAAGCCTTTACATTTCGACAAAGTCCAAGCTGTCAAACTTTTTTCTCTCTTATGGATCATGCTTTGGACTTGGTGTCCAAAGCCCCAGATCCCAGAGACCCTCTCCTCGGGTTTCGTCCAACAGTGTCACTCTTTGGGTTGCACCTTCCAGCCCCTGGTCCGAGCCCAGGTCAAGTTCCCCGTTCGGGTGTCGTCCCTTCCTCTGCGCGGCCGCCACCTCTGGGCTCCAGGTGTTCCTGTTCCCTGCAGGGGGTTCCGAGAAAATGCCTTCAACCGCTGAGACAGTTGGGAAACTTGCCCTCTGGGAAGGGGGCAGCTTTCCACGGGCCTCTTCCTAAGGCCTCGGGCCAGGCACGAAGTTCCACCACAGCTTGGCCCCCCAGCTCGCAGGGGGCGTCCCACAGAGCCAGCGCCAGCCAGGCCCCGGCAGACGCCCTCTCCTCTGGAGCCCCCTCCCCAGATTAGGCCTCTGGCTGAGCATGAGGGTCCTCTGACGGGGCTCATTAACGGCCTGCGGGGAGCTGGCAGCCCCCTGGCGAGACGCCATTACTAGCCGCAGCTTGGACTAGGAGGAGGGGACGAAGAAGATCAAGGGCACCCACGGCCTGGAGAAGGCCCCGGGAGTTGGAAGTGCAGCTTCCAAATGGGAATTTACATCCTCGCCTCCGCCCACTGGGCTCCTGGGGCTCTTTGATGCCAAGACAGAGTTCTCTCTCCGGAAGCCCAGTGGAGAGCTGACGAGCCCCGAGGGCCGCAGGACGCACCTGGGGGAGCTCTCACCAGAAGCCACCCAGGTGCCTCCTCCGGCTGACTCTCCTCTCCACCCTCCGCCCTCCGCCCCTGCCGACTGTGGGGGGTCCCAGAGGTCACTTGTGGACGTCTCTTGTTTAAAACAAAAAAAGGGGGCAGCTAAAAATAATACACCTGGAAGGTCCTAGCTCCGTCGGTCGGAGGCTGCGGAGTGCCCTGACCTGGTGGCGCACACCTGCAACCCCGGTGGCTGAGGCAGAAGGGTTGGAAGTTGGAGGCCAGCCTCAGCCACTCAGGGAGACCGTTTCAGAGTAAAATACAGTGTAAAACGGGCCAGGGATGTAGCTAGGGTGGAGCTCCTTCCGACTAGCAGGGACTTGGGAGGGAGGTGGGAGGATCCTGGGTTCAAACCCCAATACTGCAAAAATTAAAAAAGAAAAATTTTTAAAGCCAAGGCAGGGCTCTGAGTGTGATTCTGGGTGCGATTTGCTCCCTACAGTCCTCTGCCCTCAGATCCTCAGGGGCCCAAGAGGACCCTTCAGGCAAAACACCCACATGCAAAAGATAGCGTCTCGGGGTTCCGCCACGGTGCCAGGGTGCCAGGTGCCTGCCGAGGTCCGTGGACCTGGCAGCTCCTCCAGCCAGCACGCTGCCCATGGGACCACCTCAAAATACACGCCTCAACCTCAGGCCCCGACCCGGCCAGCCTGGCCACCGTGGCCACCACACCTTGCCTGGGCGCATCCAGGAACGTGCCGGAAACGGCTCCTGGCCCTGCTCTGGATTCAGGCTTATTCTCAAAAGTTGGATTTCTGGGATATGGGACTTGACCCTGTGGCTGCTTTGCAGTGCCGGGGCGCTGAGCTGCAGTCCCAGCCCTTCCTATTCATTTTGAGACAGGATCTTGCTAAATTGTCCAGACCGGCCTCATAGCTTCCATCTTCTGGCCTCAGCTGAGCTCATGGGTGTGTACCATTGTGCCTGGCTCTTTAAGCCTTTTTATTTAATTTTTTTTTCTTTGTCCCAGGGATTCAACCCAGGGGCGCCTACCCACTGAGCCACATCCCCAGCCCTTCTTATTTATTATCTTGAAACCCTTGCCCAGGGCCTTGCCAAATCGCGGAGGGCAGCTTTGAGCTTGAGATCCCGCTGCCTCCCTCCCAGGTCACTGGGATTACAGGTGTGTGCCCCCGCGCCAGCTGGTTATTTTTTATTTTGAGTCAGAGTCTCCCGAAGTTGTTTAGGTCCTCACTGAGTTGCTGAGGCTGGCCTTGAATTTGTGATCCTCCTGCCTCAGCCTCCCCAAGTCTCTGGAATTGCAGGCTTGTGCCACCGAGCCCGGCTCTTTAAGACTCTTGATGCAAACTGCACACCAAGGAACAGGGAGCTGGGTGCCCTGTCTTAAGGGACGCTCCCCAGCTTGCTAGCATCGGCCACTGTGGTTAAAATTCCTCACGCCACACACCCATGTAAGGCTGCACTCAACGGTGTGCACTGAGCACACACAGGGGAGGTATGTGGCATGCTCCCCGTGAAGATCTCCGCCCTTGGCACAGCTCATGCACACGCGCCTCGCGGTGATGCCAGGAAGTGGATTCTCTTGAAACCCTCCCGCCCCCCCAGGTGAGGGCCCCATAGTATAGGGGAGAAGGCTCACCCAGGCAGGGCGTCTCAGTGGGCTCCGGGGACCGTGGCTAGGTTCCCGTGAGGACTTAGCCGCAGGGATGGGAGAAGGAACCCTCATGCCCAGCTGAGACTCATGGGCTGGGACCCTGAAAATCTAGACTAAGGAAAGACGGACCGAGTCCAGGTTTGGACAGCAGCAACTCCCAGGGTGGACGGCCAGCGCTCAGGCAGAGGCAAGCCTCTAACAAAGAAGGACACACCTGGGACGCCTCCCTTCCCTCTTCCGTCAAATGAGGATCATAAATTCCCGACCTCAGAGGTGTCTTGTAAGTGTTCCATGAGATGCTATCTCAAGTTACAAGGGAGATGCTCTCTGTAAAGCACTCGCCTGCCGCCTGCCCATTCAGTCAGCCAACATCAGGTCCAGGGGCCGCTCTGCGAACCCGTGGGGAACGGCCAAGCTGGCCCTCAGAAGCCGATGTCCAGTTCCCTGCACTTCTGATGGCCCTCTGTTGTGTAAAACGTGGATACGGTGCCTCTGCCCTGGAGCATGCAGCTGTCACGGGGCTCCCTTCTTTTAAAGTTCGTTGAGGCCTGATTTACGCATAATAAAACGCACGCGTTTCAAGCCTGGGGTCTATGACTTTTAAGAAACGTTTGCAGGCACAGTGGCACGTGCCTATAATCCCAGCGGCTCAGGAGGCTAAGGCAGGAGGATCGAAAGCCAGCCTCAGCAAAAGCAAGGTGCTAAGGGACTCAGCGAGACCCTGTCTCTAAATAAAATACAAAATAGGGGCTGGGGGTGGGGCTCAGTGGTCGAGGGCCCCTGAGTTCAATCCCCGGTACCCCCCATCCCCTCAAAAAAAAGAAAGAAATATATACCTTCACAGACAAGTCAGCTCAACCAATATTCAGACCTCGAGATGGTCCCTTCCTCCATGGGAGGCTGTAGCTCAGTGGCGGAGCGCCTGCCTAGCAGGTGAGGCACTGGGTCTGATCCTCAGCACCAAAGTTAACTAAGTAAGACAAAGGTCCATAAACCACCAAACCAAAAAAATTAAGAATAAAAAAAAAATATATGGTCCCTTCAATCAATCCCCTCTGTCCCTCATCTCCACCCTCCTCCAAACCAGGTGGCCTCCAGTCTGGGTCCCATCTCTCAGCCCAGTTTTGCCTGGTCTAAAACACGCACCTGCACACGCCTCTCAGGTCCCGCACGGCACGTTCTTCTGCGTCTGGCTTCTTTTCCTTGGTGCGAAGTTTTTAGGTCTCAAAGGTGAAGTTCTGTGTGTTTTTAGTTCATTTCTTTTTTTGGGGGGTGGGGGGTACAGGGGATGGAACTCAGGGGCCCTCGACCACTGAGCCCCATCCCCAGCCCCTATTTTGTATTTTATTTAGAGACAGAGTCTCACTGAGTGGCTTAGGCCCCTGTTTTTTGCTGAGGCTGGCTTTGAACTCACGGTCCTCCTGTCTCGGCCTCCCAAGCTGCTGGGGTTACAGGCCTGTGCCACGGCTCCAGGCTTGACTCCTTTCTGTTGCTCAGCAGTTTCTCACTGAACTGAGTGTAGAGGAGGAAGCTGCCCCCCTCCCAGAACAAGAAGGCAGATTAACTAAAGGAAAACAGACAGTGCTGACTACCCCAGGTCTCTCTGCCTTACACATATGTGGGGGATGCCCAGAGAGATGGATAAATCCTTAGAGGTGGCTTTGAATTCTGGCTTCACCATCCTCCACTGGCACACAGAGGTGCACACCTGCAATCCCAGCTACTGGGGAGGCTGAGGCAGGAGGCTTTCAAGTTCAAGGCCAGCCTCCGAAATTCATGGAGACCTTGTCTCAAAATAAATAAAGAAAAAGAAAAGAAAGCAAGGTATATGGCGGCCGACAGGGAGACCGGGAAACAGTAGCAAAGGGCGGGCTTGTCGCGCGGAATTCAGTGGATCCTTTCTCCGCTGCCAAGCCCCCAGTGATTTAGAGACCCCTTGGCCTGTCGCCCATGTAAGTGGAGATTCCCTGGGATGAAGGGGTTGGGCCCACACTCTACCATGGAGCTCCACGCCTGGTCCCAGAATCCCTTGGTAGATGTGAATTTCCCTTCCAACACGGTCACTTCTACTCTGTTTCCAAAACTTCTCCTGTGTCTGCAGTTTTTCCAAAATAATCACTTTACCTGTGGTCCAGCTGCCCCGAGGCTGAGCAGAAGGGCCTTGAATTAAAGGCTGGCCTGGTCAACTTGGCAAGCCTCCATCTCAAAAAAGAAAAAAAAAAAAAAACCATGGCGGGGCTTTGCTCAGTGATAGAGTGAGGAAAATTCTAGAATGAGGGCCCACCGCCCCCCCCCAAAAAAAAACCAGCTTAAAATAACCTTTATGCCAACGACATGTGTTTCAGGGTGGCATGTTCTACCCTCCTACAGCACCCGCCTCCTGGGCACAGAACACCCCAGTTTGTCTGTGTCATGACAAGCTGTGCCATTAGCACAGACCACTCTGCACACAGTCAGAACTGGTCACACGGCAATGCATTCACCACGACGACGCCACGTTCAGCAGCTGCGACCCTCCACTACTCGAGGGTCACCTGACAGTCATAAGCTGGGCCCTCACAGGGTCTTTTATTCCAATCTTAACTCCTAGTATCTACTACACGTAAGTCCTGCGTTACGCCTTACAAATTATACGTGCGTGCATGCGCGTGTGTGTCTGTGTGTGTGTGTGTGTGCATGCGTGCGTGCGTGTGTGTGTGTAAATCACAGAAAAGCTAAGGGAGGGTTAATGTGGGCCACAGGGTGGGAGGCTGAACTGGGAGCCAAAGCTAAGAGCAGATAGAATGCAAAGAGTCACTGTAGGTGGTCAGATAAGAGGAAGAACTTGTTCTGGGCACAGAACTATGGAGCTGTCTGAGCAGAATTTATTCAAGGCCTGGGTGGGGAGGGATGGAGATTGAGACAAGAGCCTGAGACTTCAGCTTGGAGTCGGCACCGCACTGTGTGGAAGCCTGGGGACAGAGCTGCGGTGGTGACAAGTGGCCAGGTGACAGGGTCAGGGAGTTGCGATGTCCAATTCCTCTTTTTATAGGTTTCGGGGACCCTTCACTGGATGGTCTGGTGTGTTCCATAAGCTCCTGGGTCTGGTTTTTCTGATATGGGGACCACATCCATGTGCCTCTAATTAATTTGGTAAGTTCACA